TATATTAATTTATAATAAAATACCTAGAGAGGGCTTTCTCTAAATATTTCTAATTTCGGAGTCAGTAGCACTAACCTATACCACTATAACCTATTTTTCTACTTGTCTTTTAAAGGATAGAGAGAGTCAGCGCAATCAAACAAGAGACGTCTCACTGTCGGCAAGGCAATTGAGACTGCGTCTACAGACGGTGGCGTCTGAATGCTTGCCAATTTATTCACCATAAAAAAATAGAAAGTTTTTTATTTTATCCGCTTATAACTTATTATTGTAGACTGGTGTGGATTATCCTTCATCAAGCTCAATCATCCTCAATAGCATGACCCTCAACGGGTTGGAGACGGCATACTGTGCCCAAGTGGGAGGCCCTTATAGATCCCCCTCTATAAAAATTGTTGACGAGATCAGGTTCCAAGAGTTACAAGTAAGTTTTTTATGTATAATTTAATAATTATTTTATAAGTAAGTATAATTTTTGGTGATACTGAGCGAGAACTTTTAATTGAGTGAATAATATCTGCTTAACAAAAGCAATATTTTTTTCATCTTATTGTAATATGGCGTGGTGGTATACTTTTTCTTTGATGGTTTTATAAATTATATCTGTGATTACATTTTGTGCTAAATTTACAGGTGCGTGGCAAAAAATATATAGAAAATTCGACTCACAAAGAAATGCAAGAGGTCACCATTGAATTCTTAGATGTTGCTGTATCCATTAAAATTTACATGGATGGTGCAGGTGTGGAAGAAGGGGAAGGAAAGGGAGAAGGAAAGGAAGGGGAGGAGGATGGAGGGAGGGTAAGGGAGGAAGGGGGAGAAGAAGGCGAAGATGAATATGAAGACGGGAATCGTAGAAGTCAGTCGAAGCTTCGAGCAAAGTCAAATTACTATCTAGAATTCGTTGGTTGGAGGTAAACTATTTGTTACTTTGTGCACAAGGTACCCAATCTGATTAGGTCTTTATTATAAAATTAAGAATTTTTAAGTAATCTAGGTGCTACTACATCTAAACCGTAGGTAACTGTTGTAAATGTAGACTAGACATAGATATGCATATTTATGTAATTTCATTTTTTAGGAGCTTGGAATACTACGCGGTAGCTGGACCGGAAAACCCATTGTATCGTCTGATAGTAGGATATGCCGTTGATGAAATTCCTCGTGCAATAGTTGATTATTTGTACCGGGTGTTAGATCAAGCGATTGCTAAGGTAGACAGTTCTGATTCGTACGCGGCGACTACTGAACAAGAAGAAGGAGCAGTTAGAGCAGGCGTTCCTGAACACAATATAGATAAAGGACATGACGACGATGTACATTATGAAGACGATTATGACTCGTCGGAACGTCTTGCATGCAAGAAGAATAAACACAATTGTAAAAAGATAAAGAAAATTCTCAGGAAGAAAAACAAGAATCGTCTCCGTGCCCATCGCAGGCAACACCGTTACGCTGTTTATTTCCCTGTTGAATCAAGTGATAATAATCCCAGTGACGGTGGTGACTCTATCCAAGAAAGAAATGTTCTTGGTGATCGTGACCAAAGCGGTGACGTTGGTGGCGGTAGCATAGACAATGAAAGAGGCCTCGATGGCATAGGCAATGGGGGTGACACATTTATAGACGGAAACGTAGATAATCAAAACGCGGAAGATGGCGGTACCAGCTTCAACGACGGGAATGAAAACAATGGCCCAGGAATCTATACAGATGACAATGTAAATAATTATAAACCAAGTGGTGGCACTGGCATTTATTCAACCGGAAATAGAAATTACGATGTAAATAACATTTTCTCAGAAGGAAACGTAAATTATAGCAATTCAAATAAAAGGGATGATATGTATATAGGTGAAAGTGACATCAGCGGTGGCGGTAGCGTTAATAACATGGGTTACGAAAATCTTAACTTGCAGAACAATTATAGCAATAACAACAGAAAAAGTAATATATTACCCAACGAAAAGATCAAGTCATAAAACCAAACACAAACGAACACAAATATTAAAAAAACTGAATATAAAACCTTGAAAAAAACTCCAAACTGAAAATAATGATAATATTAACAACATAGGAATCGAAGCTATAATAATGAGAATTGCAATGTGTATGAAATGATGGTGAAAACCACTGAAAAAGATCCTAAGAAGAAGTTATAACAACACTAATAATATTTTATACACACGCAAATATTCCAAATATCAAGCCACTTTCGCCTTAGATATCCTGAAACATTTCTAATAATAATAATGCATTCAGTTAGTACTTGGTGAACGTAAACATTCCTTTCAAAGTATCGTATCTCAAAATACTTTTGAATGTTAGATCTGTGCACCCATGTAAGCCGTAAAGGCGATACGATACGATATTATAATACCGCAATTCATAACAATCCTTCAAAAAGATTGTCTACCAATCTTAACGTCAATTTTAGTATGTATGTATATATGTATATATATACATATTAAAATATAATATTTCTTATTAAAATAAGAAATAAATCACAGTAAAATGTTACAATTCTGACTGTATCTTGTTACGCCTTAGTTATGAATTTTATAAAAAAATGTTAATCTGGTTTGTGATTAAATCATTACAAAATCATATTTTAAATGCACCTAAGAGTGCACAATAGTATTTTAATGAACTTTTATATATTAGTCAAGGTCAAAGTCAAATAATCATTTATTCCATAAGTAAAATTTTTAAAATTGAAAACGTCATTTTTTAAACTACTGCTCGTTCACCAAGTTGACCTCCCTGAGAAGAATGAGCAAGAAACTCTAGGGATTGCTCTTTTCAAATAAACTGAAACGCTATAGAATACATTTTGAATTATATTTGTGTGGAATCTAGACTCACGTTGCCTTTCCATACTTTATCTAACACGTAGTCTACAATTTTGTAATATGACTTTTCAATTAAAATACTTTTAATAAGTAAGTTTTAAATTTAGGAAATGGTCATCTTAATATATGCTCCGGAATCTATTGTAAAAACGTATACAGTTCCCCATAAAAGAATCGTTTACCTTAGTTAAACGAAAACGTGGTACCACGAGTTTGGACTTAGTTCTAAGGTCTATATTTTTTATTTCGTCCATTATCGTTAATACCAATTTGGGTGTTGTATGGTGGAGCATGTTGACCAAAAGGTAAAGGTAGAGTACAAAACATAATCATTTAAACAATCGAAATATGTGATTGACTTTCTTAATCAATAATTGAAGGTCAAAGTTTATTGCAATTCACGAATTCCTAGATAAAATTTCAATATCCTTGTCTATAAATAATTTGTACACCACCGTAGCAGGGTTTCGAAGCAAAAAAAGTTGTAATGAATTGTATTTCAATTACATTTTTAATTATAATTAATAACGTAGGATCGAAGTATCTTCCTATAGAAGACAAAATTATGGACTATTTTCAAAGTGGTAAGTACAAATTGTCTATTCTATTCTAAATTAAAAACAAAAACCAAATGCAGGTCTTCCTCGTTAATAAAGTAGTGTTCGTTAAAACTCGTTACTGGATTATTTTTTAAATTAACAGCTGACTTGTTGAATTTTGTCCTGCACTCGCTATTTTGCGGAATTTTAGTAAATTAATTTCTTGTACTGAGAAAACGAGTACTAATTTTTACAGTGTACATTAAGGGTACGTAACTTGTAAAATTATATTGATATTTAGTTATTGCTCCATCATTTAGAGTTGAAAGTATATTGTCAGCCTTTAAAACAAAAGTCTCAGAAATTTGACTGAATTGAAAATATAGTTAATGCACTTAGGTAGTTAAACTTAGGTCAAATGTGTAGCTTCTATCTGTGGCTATCACTTTTAAATGACGTGAATAATTTTTAAGTATCTTGAATATAGTTTGCCAATATTTTCAGGAACGATGAAAACTTTTCATGACATATGGCACCAACATAAAAAGTTGTTAGAAATTGCGATGAGTTTTGTAAGTTCGTTTAATTTATGCGATTAACTTTATCTTAGGAAACGAAACTATTTTTCCAAAAATAATGTAGGTATTGGGCATATTTGTTTTTTCAAAGAAACCTAACCTATCCTATTTTGTTTACTATTAAAGCAGACGTTGTTACTACAAATTAAGTCAATTGGAGAGGCACCGCGGTAATTCCGTATTTTCGACTAGATTTTAGTCTACTTCGATTGTAGCGGACTGTGTGGTGTTCGGTTGCTATTGAGGATTGAGCAAGACCAAAGGAAATCTACTCACGTTTATTTAAACAACAATATACAGCTACAATGAAAACAGAAACAAGAATAGCAATAACAAAGAAAAAGGCGCCAAAAACAAGTACATTTAAATTTAGAATTTTAATCTCAGAGTAAACTGTTAAAATACTATATGTATAAAATATATGTACAAGGAAGATTTATAGCGACTCGACTGCTGCGATTTGCTACATCGACTATAAACTATTAATTCTACGTATTATTGATCGATTTAGTACATTTACACTTCCCATAAAAGTGTAGCTATCGAATTTTTAGGTTTTCGCGATTGCTACGCATAGGAATTGATAAAAGGGATAATATTATGTGATCCTCAAAGATATAATTGATCTATTGTGTGTTGTGATATATGTGCACTTTTTTAAATAAACAATTGTTATTTAAACAAATTAAGTTTGATATACATAACATATTAATTGTTCCGTCTGATATTAGTTGATCTATGGATAAATTATAAAGACCTGCATTCATGGTAACACTATTATTATGTTTAATCATACTAAATTAATATTTGGTATTCAAAAATAATATTTGATCCTCTTTTTTATTATTGGTCTTTTCTTTTAACGATTGATGACATATACGACCACTATATCTTTTGATATTATCTCATAATAAATACTGGTAGCTTGGTTGCGTCCTCGATTTAATAGGTTAGGTTAGGTTGGTATATGAAAAAGCAGCATGACGTGCCGCAGCAGCGGCCGGCAAGTGCCAGAAGCCAATTTGCTTGCATTTCCGAGCATGTTTTCAGGTCAAATTATATTATAATTAATATAATATTAGTATACAAATATAAGCAACATTTATTTAATTTTAAAAAGTAGTATCTAAATTTTATTTTTAATGCTCATTTATTTGTCTGTAGCTTTGAGGCCCAACATAAAACTATCAAAGTTAAATTTATAGAAATTAAACATTTTTTGCGTAGCTCAGAACAGATTAAAATATCGATCGATTTATTATGTGTCTCAGAAAAAAAATCAATCATTAAAAAAAAGTATGACCGATTAGATTTTTTGCCTGTTGCTTTTGCAAATTTAAAAGGATCATTAAATACATGACCTAATAAAATAATATTTTTCGGGATCTGAAATCGTTCACAAGAAAGTGGTTTGCATTCATTTTAGGCGTAATTATTTGATAGTTAATACTACCTCAGTGTCGAAATATCTGTCTATTGGACAGAAAGGTATGCTGTAAAAATCCGTTGCATCACGTTAAATTTGTTTATTTTCATGAAAATTCTGCGAAATAAACACTTTTGCTAAATAAACAGGCAGCCAAAACTTTACAATGAGCATCTGTGGGACATTAAAGACGTGTTAATGCTGTCCAGCCCCACAGAATATTCGAGAGCTTAAAAAAGTTATTACGGCCCCCAATATCTCCAATCTTCCCCCCCCCCCCCCCCCCAAATTCCTCAAGAAATCATAAAAGCTTCATTAATTTTTTTTGTTTTTTAACAGATCCTATATTTAGGAAATGAAACTATTTTTCCGGATTTAAATCGCGTATATTTGTTTTTTCAAACAAACCGACGTTTCGGGCCCTTTACAGGTCCCATGGTCACGGTTGTCAACCGTGACCTGTAAAATGTGACCATTTAAATTCGGAAAAATAGTTTCATTTCCTATGTGTAACAATCGCGAAAACCTAAGAACTCGATAGATCCTATGTTAGTTATTATGTCCTAATCATTGCTTACAATTATAGTCCTAATATTATTTGTGAATAGCCGAATAAATGTTTCTTTCTTTCTTTCAAAGCATGCCATGAAGAACTCGGCAAGAGAGGGCCACACTTGATACTAATATTATATTTGCGATAGGAACTGTCTGTTTGTTTTTTTCCGTTTTCACGCCAAAATGGCTGAAATTTTGTTGAATTTTGGTATAGAGATAAGGAAAAGGACATATGCTACTTTTTGTGATCAAAATACATCTTAACGGGTATTAAATAGAGGATTAAAGTTTGTATAGGATAGAAGATCTTATTAATTACATTTGCTAATTTCAATATTATCCATTTATATAATGAATGTAAAAATTGTACGCGGACGATGTCGCAGGCAACAGCTAGAGTAGAATAATTGTCAGTTAAAGGTTACTTTGTTTGTAAGAATGAGTAAAGGAAAAACGAATTAAGTCCTAACCTTAGTTTAATCTTAGTAAATAATTCTCAATTTATTTTGTTGCATTAATAGATCACTTCCTTGTACTGGTACTTAAAATACTCGAAATAGTTGTAAACGCTCTGTTTATTTGCAGTGTCTCCAATGTAAACGTGGATGATTTCATTACTTTAAGATTCTTATATTTTAGGTATTCGCCAAAAAACTTGACACAAGTACAGTGAATGTGTATATGGGGAAGAAAGAAGACCATAATACTATAGCACACGGCATGTACATTAGAGATGATATCATTCAATTGTTAGTATTTGATTGATGTAGTTGTTTGGATTTAATTTTATAATATTTAAATCTATAATACTGTATTTTTGCAAAATTACAACCTCAATCTTGTAACCATTGGTACCAAACCAATACAAGAAGGTTCACTGTTACACTTTCTATTGAAGAGAAATTACGGATTTTATAATTTCTACAAATTTTATTAAACAAATTCAAGAAACTTATTTCATCATCATCAACCCATTTATATGTCCCACTGCTGGGCACGGGTCTTCTCTCAGGCGAGTGTTATAGGTCATAGTCTGCCACACTGGCCAAATGCGGGTTAGGGACTTCACACGTTTTCCGAGGGTTATGAACCTTAGACGTGCAGATTTCATCACGATGTTTTCCTTTACCGAAAAGCTCATGGTACATTTTAAATTAAATTTCGCACATGAATTCCGATAAACTCAGAGGTGCGAGTCGGGATTTGAACCCACGGCTTCCGCTTGGTAGGCGGTAGGCCAAACCATTGCACTACCACATTGACTTACAAATAAATGGACGACGGGTCTAATACAAAAACCACGAAAAAAATGTCCCAAGTCAACCTATTTAAACGTAGTGACATGTAAAGGAATATGAAAAAGCTAAAACGTTGAATTTAAATTGTAATGTCATCGCAGTACTGTCTAATTTTGCTTGCTTCGCTGTCAGTAGAACAAACGAAGACTAAAGCGTGAATGACGCTCTGTATACGATTTTAACGCCCTATAAGTTCGGACACTTTTTAGCGCGGACCCGACGTCCATATAATTGTAAGTCAATGCACTACAACAGCTGTTTAACTTAAATGATTGGCACGCTATGATGGCCGTTTTGACGTTTGTCCGCTCATCATAACTACGTTGAAGGAGCTAATTGCTGTACATTGGCGTATAGTTTTACGACACAACTCGGCATTTGTTTTTCGAAATTCGAAATTTATAAAAATGGAATCTAATACGGTCGATACTTATAAGATCGCTGGTCCAGCATAACTCCTACCTCCTGCAAACTCGCGTCAAAGCTCAATGCAAAACAAAGCAGTTTCG